TTTCGAAAAAATCGCTTGTTTCTCGAAAATTTGCATAAGTAATCACCTTTCGTGCACCAATTAAAAGTTTTCCTCGAACAATTTTTAACAATGCTTATGTTAACAGATGATGCTTCTAAAGCTGGTGTTGGTCATACGTCATCAACTGTAGAAAAATTCATTTATATGGTTACTCATTTAGGTAATGCCCATAGATTGACAACCATAGTTTCATTTTCTAGTTTTGGTTTTCTATTATTAGGTGGATATCTTAAATCAAAATATTCAAATCGATATCCTTGGGTTCAATTTATTCCTGAAATTTTAATCTGTGTAATTATTTACACTGCATTATGTGCTATTTTTCAATGGGATGATTATGGTCTTGATATCCTTGGACACATTCAAGGTGGCGGTTTTCCTTCTTTTCAAATTCCTAGACCACCACCAATGACTCATATATTAGATTGTTTCGAAACTGCTGTTTTGATTTCAATTGTTGGATTTGTTGAATCTATTGTAGTTACTAAAACTTATGCTACAAAACATAATTATTCTGTTAGTGCAAATCGTGAATTGGTAGCTTTAGGTACCGCTAATTTAGTTTGTAGCTTTTTTCAAGGGTTTCCTGCATATGGTGGTATGGCAAGGAGTAGTATAAATGATAGAGCTGGTGCTAAAACACAACTTTCTGGGTTAATAACGTGCATGTTTGTTCTCGTTTGCCTATTTTTCCTTCTTCCTTATTTTTATTATCTACCTCATCCTGTTTTGGCAGCAATCATTAGTGTTGCGGCGCTAACATTAATGCATGAGCTTCCTCATGACTTACTTTTCATGTACAAGATCAGAGCATGGAATGATTTTGCTTTACTTTTTTTAACTTTCTTTTGATTTTCACGTAATTTTACAAAGAAAACATTAACGTTACGGTTATGATAAGCTTCTACAATTTCTAAAAGAATTTGTGCGGCACTTTATAAATACAAAAATCAATTAGTATAAATTATAAAATCTTTTTATCATTTAATAGTTTTCAGTATATTAAATTACCTAGCATCCAAATCTTCCATAGTTTCTATATCAAAAATTACATTTTCAATTAGTGATAATCGTGCATCTTCAGAAGGATGAAC